TTGGGCAGACAGCACTCGGGACACAGCAGAGCCAGGGTAATAGAACAGAAGCCTCTAGCTCCATCCTGAAATCCTGGAGCTCCTGTGTGGAGGAGATCTTTGAAGAGATATGGGGTGAGCAGAAGCTGGCTTCCTGCGCTTGCAAGCTGTGAGGATGTGCTGGGACACCAGACAGGCCACCAAGTTGAAATAGTATGAGTTTTGCTTGCATGTTTTTCATTTGTGAAGCTGTCTTAGAGACCAAGGATATACTGAACTGGAAGGAGAAAGGGATAGTAAAATATGGCTGTACCTGGAGATGAGATTTTGGCCTCTTTTAGCTGCATTAAAGGTGGGATAAAGAGTAGCTTCAATTTGATTAAAAAAAAAACCAAAATATATTTAATTCAGGAAATGCTGGAACCAAACTTTTTGCAAATGTGTTCTCAGATCCAGGGTGGGATTTCAAGTGGAAAGTCTGAAGTAAATCCTTGCACTCACTAGGCAGATCACAAGAATGCTAAATGTCAAGACTCAGGATGCAGGAACTTGACCTTGGTTTTTCTCACCTCAGGAGAAAGGCAGAGGCGAAAATATCCTAGCCAAGCAATACTGTATATAAGTGGGAGAATATCCTCCTCTATCCTGGAAATAACACATGCTACTGAAAGTGGGATCAAATGGCAAGAGTGTTCAGGTACTATATTGCTGGCCATATTTCAGAGAGGGAGAGGGAGGGAGAGAGCATCTTTCTCTGGGGATATCATGTAAATAAATCCTGCTGTGAGCGGTACAATCCTTTGTGTTAAGTTGATCGCAAATCCTGGTATTCATCTTCAGGGAAGGAGATGATGTATATGCCTGAACACCTGCAACCACAGAGCTTTTATTGTGGAAATTCTGCTTGCTGACCCTCTTCCACTTAGGAGCTGAATTTAGCGTGTGTTGTGTTCCTAAAAGCAGTAGATCAAAGCAGCGCTTACTTACTCCATAGACCCATTTCCTGTATTCCAGTCCTATTTGCTTTCTTTAAGGGCAGAGATAAGGTTTTAATATTATTTATTCCTGCTACAGAACCAATACAACTATCTGAGCGTTTTATTCTGGTAATCAGGGTATTGTTAGTATGAATACAGAATAAGTTTCCATTGCAAATCTAGTGGAGGTCCTGAGTTATGCCTCCTGTATTTGTGTGGCTGGCTTAAACAGCATGCAGGTAGAGGGAAAGGCAACAACTGGACCATTAAGTTTTACTATGGGTGCTGAAGCACAAGGCAGGAGGACCTCAGCCTGATTTGCAGGTTCTAAGCTTGCAGGTTTGCAGTGGCTACAGGAGGGTGATTTTAAAAAGCTTATAAATAGATTCTACTTTATTTGTAAACCACTGAGACTCAATAAACATGGGGCTTCACTGTCCTGGTTTACGATGCTCCTTTTTAGAGCTGATCCACAATTTAAGCAGAATACTATCTGCAATCTCCAATTTATCCAGGAAACTACTGCTTTAAAGCCCTGGACTCCAATGTCTCTGTCTGCTGCTTAAACCTGGTGCCATGCATGGGCAATACAGTCCTGGGATGCTCTGTGGGATGCCCTGTGGGATGCCTGTGCTGCACTGAGCTTGTAGGCTGCTTTCTGTACCTGTGCCTCCCAGAGCACATTCCCTAGCAACAAGTATCTACAGATTCAAAGGTATTGAAAGTACCTGGAGTGCCTCGTGTGACCAAGGTGGGAATAGTACCATCCGCAGAAATACCACAGCTATAGCAAAGATGGTGTTATTTCCAAAAGGATCACCTCCCTCTCAAGCAGAGTCTGGAGGAATTACAGCAGAGTTAACCTAACCATTAATGTGGTGAAGTGTCCTCACCTGCAGGGAAGTTCGATGCCTTCTTTTTCCTCCTGTTCAGTGAAGAGGAATATGATCCACTACAACAACCCAAGAAGATAGAAACAAAGCAGAATACCTCTGGGGGGCCATTTTAACATGAATCTCAGCTAGAACTGAAATGCATGTGCCCTTTGCAGACCATACCTAAACTGTGTTATGGAAGGAGATGCTTGTTTGTATTTTTTCCTGACTTTCAGACTCCCTGTGGAATAAAATGCCCTCGGGTGCTTCATAACCGCTTACCTCCAGCATATTGTCAAAATTCCAGTCTTTCCTGATGGTTTGCAACGCTTAAGCGTGCCTATAACGGACCATTATTTTACAGGCATTAAATAATGATGATACTCTGTGCCAGCTTTGTGCTGGCGATTAGCAAAAGTCAGAGGAATTTTCTGGTAGATCTACATTTAAGGTGCTGTGCAGTATCAATGGCAGCTCCAGAGGTAGGTGATTTCCTTTGTGATGTCTCAGCTTGCTTCCTTTCCAGTACTGATACTGAAGTTCCTCCCTGCACGTGGGCAAAAGGTGGTTATTGTTATTTCATTATACTAATACAAAAGGTATTTGATGATATATAATGGTGGTTTTAAGTCTGAAATTCCAGGAAGCAGCTTAATGCAAAGAGTGCAATAGGAAAACCAAATAATTTCTTGTCAGGAGGAAATCTGTGTTGCTGTTGTTTAGTCCCCGTTTCTCAGTGATGCTTGCAGACAAGGATACAGCCCACGGGAGTGGATGCGCACTCTGCAGTGACGGGAGCATGCAGGACCGGAGAGGAAGGGCTGCATCAAGCCTGGAAGGAGTGGTGAGCCATGTACAACTTTTAGCAAAGCAGGAATTGGGAAGCCAGAAAGCAGAATTCAGTAAAGATTACTTCACAGAGTAGTGGCATCTGATCTGAGGTCACAACACATTTACCTTTTTCACTTCAGTTTTCTTCTAAAAACATCTTGTACTTGTCTTTTCTTCACATCTGTGTAATGACGTACGGCTACAGGGCTAAACTTATTCACATTTTGCTATCTTATTGTCTTTGGCAAATATGTCTGAAGGGGCTGCAGGGCTGAAAAGGGCTCAGTGAAAGCCATTGTGACAAAGTAACATAAATGAGACGAATCTTGCACACGTGAATGTGCTTGGAAGATGCATTGATTTGGCAAGCTGTAACGCGACTTCGGCTGCCTGAGCTGACTCGGGAAGCTTTCCATGTCCTTTTGCCTCCTGTATTTTCCCTTTGAGTTGCCCAAGTTTATTCTCACTTTTGGTTTCAGGCTGATTCACAAACACCCAGGAGATGCTCCAGCTAATTCTTGAGCTTCCAGACAGTGAGAGAGAAATTGTGCTTATAGTGTAAATGGAGATTGCTCTCTGCAAAAGGCTCTCCCGCTTGCGTTGCTGTGCTTCAGATCTAAGGCACAGAGGTGGGTGCTCTATTGTAGTCTTCTAAACTTTCTGTCATAGTCTATATTTTGCCTAATAGGTTTTTGAGGGAGTGTATTGATTTCACTGTAGAATGCCAGTGACCTTTACATGCTGCTGTACGTTATCACATTGCAGTAGCCCCACTGAGTCCCCATAGCCCTGACCCCATATCCAGCTTGTGAATCAAGAGCTGCACATTGTAAAACCCTGCATGTTTACTCCTAGTGAGTTGGAAGGCTGGAGGGGGGGGGGGGGGGGGGGGCCTTCGATATCTAAATATTCAGCAGCCTTCTACCATTTGCACTGCTCAAAGGTCCAGTATTGAGGAGATCCAACTCTGACTCTTCCCTGGGTTATGTGCAAGCAGGATGCAGCTGTGGAGCCCAGTGTTCAGTCACAGGATGAAGGCATCTGTCTCCACATGAGTTTTATGGGGTTCTTGCCCTGCCCTTATGCAGTTTTAGGACTGCTCAGGGTGTGTAGAAGTAGCACCACACTGGCACCAGCTTTGGGGTTTTCTCATCCTTGCCCCTGTCTGTTCCACCCCCAGGGTTGCTGTTAAAGGATGTCTAACAATGAAGAAACCTTGCTTTTGAGCTGTAGCTGTCCACGGATGCAGGCATCACCCCTGCAGATGTTGAAGGAATAAAAGAGCCAGTATGTGCGCCTGTGACAGACCATCACCAAGGGCACACACTCTTCCAGTTTTCTCATTGAAGAGTGCCAAGGGTCAGGATTTTCATCTTGCCACATTGTTTGACAGCTGGTACCACTGGAAGCAGAGTGCCCTTGTGTCAGAGACAGGAGGTAAACCCATCACAGCCATCTTGGTTTGCAGATTCTACTAGACACCAGTATATGGTCAGAAACCTGGTCACAGCAGATCTTTCCTATCTAAAACCATCATCTTCCTTTCTTTTGGGGTGTTCTCAGAGACAGGTTGGTAAAATCATCAAGATGGTGATTTTTCACATGCTGATCATGTTACATTTTGCTGAGTAACACAAAAAACCCCTCCACCCTGAAAGCTACAGCACATGGATTTATTGGTCTTAGCATATATAACAATCAATGGGAAGGTGGATTGTCAGCATAACATATACCTGAAGGAAGCTTAGTAATAATTAAGGACTTTTGATCAGAACAGCACTCTGCAGAGTTTCAAGAGAAACCAGAGACAATTTACTCTGCCTTGCCCTCCCCCAGCTAAGATATATGTATCTGTATACATATATAGATATTAAACTAAATGGGAAAGAAGTGGAGATGATATTGATGAACACATGAACTGTGAGAAAAAAAGCATATTTATGGAATTGGGTCTCATCAGCAGGTACTTCAAACGTATTGCTTCCTCTCAGAATTTAAGCAACAGAAGAGAAAATCCATCCTAAGTTGCTGTAAGTTACTGAGGGTTAAAATTTGAAGCTGCCTTGGAGCCTGCTGGGTCAGAAACATTGACCTGAAGCTGATGGGTACTAAGTACATTAGGGATTTTGTTATGGAAAAGACTTGGGCATTAAGGCAGCCAGTTAACAGACATATGAACTACTTTGATTATTGATTAAAAAAGACAGTATTAATACAAAAGCAGGTGGAAGTTCTTTTCAAGCAACAACGGTCGCCATTTTCCCCTCCACTGTGGATCTGCCTTGAAATACCTTTTTTTCCAATTTTTATGGGTTAGAGCTAGTCACTATTCCTTTCCTTGCCTGACTTTAACCAACTCCACCTATTGGTATTATCGTAGTCCAAACTAGCAAGCAAATTATTTATGTAGATTCTTCTATGGTACAAAATACGTGTTTTGAGAATTAGTGGAGTTATATTTAAACTCCTACAGCTGAGGTAGGCTCTTACCCTAGCAATTTTGAGAGTAGTTTAGCATAAGTGAAATGCAGTGTGGGACAATGTTTCTGCTTCTGTTCTGAGCTTAGTGAAACTAACCTGGGAATATCAAGGGCTGAATAACTGCTGACAAAACAACAGGATCTTCTGTTGAAGAGGAGCTGGCAAAGTCTGGCATTTCTCAAGGCCAATTTTGTTACCTGACATGCTGCCAAAAAAGAGCTGCAAGTGATGAGGTTAAGGGCTCATTCAATGGCTGTGAAATCAGCATCAAACAAACAGCCACAGGGAATGCCAGGCCATGTTCAATCCTTTGCCTGGAGTCTCCCAATATTAGGATTACTCTTGACAGACAGAGCAAAGGCTTTCACTGGCCTAGGCAAGCAGGATGAGCAACACAAAACAACTTGCTACAAAGCACAGGGGTAGTGACACAGTAGCAGAAGCTTCTGCTGAGCCTTAGCTACCTTTAAAGCCTCTATGTCTTAATTTCTTTTTGTCTGAATCCTTCTTCCTTTCATGGAGAAAAAACAGTTAAAGCATAGCCAAAAGCCTTTTCTAACCCTGGCTAAACCAGCAGAGTTATCTGATTTAATCTGGCATATAGTCATTAAAAAATCTGGCAACCATGTAACCAGGACAAAATTTTCCAACTGCCTATTGGCTTTGTAACTTAGGGGCTATGGTTAAGTAATTGTCTTACTTAATTGCAGTGATTTTAGCCAAAGCAGTGATTATAGCAATTTGGAAGGCTTTCTTCTGCAGTTGACCACTTTGCCTGATTAATTTGCAGTTCTTCTGCAAATTAATTCAGAAGAATTTGCTGCAATTCTTCTGCAGTTGACCACTTTGCCTCAGGTTAATTTGATCACACTTGCTAATTTGAATCACATTCCATAAGAGGATGATGACAAGGCCTCCCTAATCATAAGGACCATAAATATGCAACTAATATTCCATTCACCATTTATCCAACCAAGCTACCTTCAGGTGTTGAGCTGTGCCTTCAACTGCACATTCATGATTGCTCTAAGAGCTCTTGTGCTCTTTCCAGAAAGATGAGCCTCCGCACACCTTCAGCTGTCCATACCCCAGGGGCACCAACTGACATTGTCTAGGATGCTGAGCTACAGGCATTCTGGGTCCCAAGGCAAGTAACATCCTGTGGAGCTGCACGGTATGTTAGTTATCCAAATGGTTGGATCATTATTCATAAGAAGGCAAAGGCTGTATCGTCATCTGACTGTGCAGAATAGCACCCATTCCTCAGCAATGTAGAAAAAGTTGGATTTAAGTCCTTATCTGGATTGCACAGGTGAGATACAAGCGCCATGTGTAGATGTGCCTGGACTAGTTTTCATCTGTGAAGGAGCTGCAATAGGAAACTCAGGACCTGATGTTTGCTCTGCACTAGAGGCTTAAGTGGTCATGGCTTGCCCAGTATGGGTCACTGGACAGGCACTGTTTCAGGAGTGCTTGCAGACACAGCATGAACACCACACAAATCAGTGTGTGGGTTTAATCTACTTGGTGCAGTACAGTTATCTCCTGACGTGGCTGGGATGAGCCACAGTGGTTACTGCTGATGGTTTCATAACTGTGACTGGCAATACTAGTGTTTCTGTATATATGTGTAACTGTTCAAACTGTGCTGCTTATTGTTTGATGGAGACAGAGTATGCTGTTTTCTTATCTGCCCAGTTTCCTCCACTTCATTGGAGCAAGAAGGCAAAGCATGTGTTTATGCACATACTGACTGTCATAAAATTCACACCTAAGAAAGTCAGGTCAAGGTACAGGTACATATGTACAAATATACAGAAGAGGTCCCTACAGGCTATTAGCAAGCAGGACAATAATAATCTTACCCTAGACCATTTGGCCTTTAGAATCCAAAATTGAAGAGACTTGAAAATTGGGTAAAGAGTCACAGGTTGATGTGATTTCCTTGGTCCACTAAGACAAAAATCAGCTTGTTTTTTTTTAGGAGAAAAAAGCAAGCAAAAAATGAGGCAGCTTTGGGGTGATAGCTTGGTCTTTTTCTATTAGCTGAATCTCATTGTGGCTTATGCATTCATAACATTCAGAATTTTACCTGAACTATTCACACAAAAGAATGTGCTAAGGACAATGGGAAATAACATATGGATTGAGACAAGTAATAAATAAGGTGTAATGTGTTTATTCTGGATCCATCCATTCCACCTACTCACATACCTAAAGCACATATCACTGCAGTAGCTTAGCATCATGTCTTATCCCTGGCATGTTCATGTTTATGTATTTCTGTTCTGTGGAAAAATAAGGCAAATTACAGGGTTTCTTTACATTCCACATATGTTGCATGTTATTTATTCACCCTTTTTTGCTCTTACCTCTAAGAGTATTTCAAATCATCTTGACATCTCATCTATACACAAAGCCAGGAAATTTTGCATTTCCACTACTTTTACAACACAGCAAAACCCCAATAATTTCTTTTGTTTTGGTCACTGCATCATTGCAAATTTCTGTCATGAAAGAAAATATTTTTGCCCATGTTACCTGAGCTTTTTCTTCACAACCTCAGAAGCTGCCCATGTCCCTGTGGACCCCTTTGCTTAGCTTCAAATGTTAAATTTAGGTTTTTCTGTGACTGATCCTGTTATGAAGTTAATTTGCAGAATGATATGACCCAGCCTAGCAAGAAGACTGGCCAAAGGGGCAGCAGGACTGACTAAGAGACAGGGGCCAGGTCTGAAGTTGAGCTAAGTGAGCTGAATGAAGGCTTTGTTTCAGGGTAGAGAAGCAAGTGGACAGACCATTGTCTGCATGGAACTCCTCTGAGGTTCAGGTACCACCTCTTCAGCTTCAATGCAGAATGGGGGTGGGCCTGTGTTTTGCCACATATGGCGCAGAAGGTGATTTTAGAGCCCCTGAAAGAGGCACAATCAAATAAGCATATAAGCAACCCTTCTGGTCTTTTACCCTAACGCATGCTTTAAGACTCCAGTGCTGTGTTTCTGAGGCCATACAGAGTATATATGAGGGAATGTGGGAATATATATATTCCCACAAGCCTTTGAAGTTTTACCATCTGCCCAAAGAATGTGATTGAAAACTGATGTCCTTTAAATGGCTTATTTTGGGGGTGATCAACTTCTGTGGCTCGATTTAGTGTTCCATCTTGCATTGCCCTGACTGGCATGCAGAGCAAAATGAATGTTTCCAGCATCAGCTCTATAAAAAGTGTGGTGGTTTGAGGGATCTAGGTCAAATTAAGTGGTCAACAGACTTCTTGAGTAGCCGGTGCCCAGAGCAGGGTCTTGGTGTGCTCTGTTCAGTCATTCTGGCTGCTTGCCCATGTGCTATGGCCATCAGATTGATAAAAGACCACTGAAGTCTGTGGGTAAATTCAGCATGCTTTTCAACGAGCTATCAGGCCCTTGGAGAGCAAAACTGTGGCCTTGTCCAGGCAGCTCCTGGTCAGGTTCTGGGTTGTGTGATGGAGAGAGAAACACGAGTGCCCTGAGATGTGAGGAGAGGGGGAGGATGTGAAAGTAATGCTAATTCCTACTTCTGCCTCTTGTCAGGCAGGTGAGAAACGAAATCGAAAGGAGCTGCACAAGGGGCTGGAGAGCTTGTAGTTAAAAAAGTGATATATAAAAGAAAAAGACAGAGCGACAGATTTGAGCTGTGGGTGAGATGGAGTTTTGGGGAGCTGAAATTTCCTAAGGCAGCTTATCATTTCAATGGCGAATTGCAGGACCTGATATTGTAGAGAGGAGGAATGAGGCAAGCTGCTCAGCACTGCAGGAAAGCTAGTGCCTTGTCTGATGCCTCACAGTAAGACACAAGGAAGAGAAGTCTGTGGAGGTTTCTTTTTCAGCTGATCACTGGTGAGCAGACAGGTCATTTCTAATTAGTACTTGTCAAATTAAACCAAGTTAACCCAGACAAAGCAGGAGGTATTACATGAGAAACTGGGCTGTCATTCAGAGCTTTAATTTTCTGGGCCAACTATAAGGTTTGCTGGTATCTGTGTACTGGTATCCTTCTCAGACCCTTAAATGCCTTACAAGAAAATGGAACTTCTTGTACAAGAGCATGCAAATGGCCTATGTGGGTAACGCTGTGGTCACAGGCAGGTCCTGCTCTATAGAGTCCCTTTGTGTTATTGTGGTCCCTGTTTGTGTGTAATGAGAGGTAAAACACAGTTCTTTATTCTGTAGGAATAGGAAGGGTAGGTTTTATTTTGACTTTTCTGCAGTGTTCAATGGAAGTGGCAGGAGTTGGTAGCTGAGATCTCTGCATTTCAGAAGTGAGACTGACGAATGCTATGCATCGTCAGTATACCATATTTTGTATTTTGAAGTGTTTAATGTGTAAAATTTCACTGAGAGAAACTCTCGATAAGGTATTAAAAAAAAAAAGCCTGAAGTATGATTAGCAATTTACACCTTCTTAAAAATGAACAGTATTCTTGTTGTTTTGATATACAGCTCCATTACCAATTTGCAACTTTAAAGAGATGTAACCTTTCTCTATTAACTTCTGCTCTCTTTTAGTTAGCTGAAAAGACTCAGTTTTGCTTTGCCTGTATTGCACTTTCCTATGCACAGTTAAAGCAAGCCAGTAACAAAACGGGTTTGTTAAGGAACTGGAGTGTGATTCAGCTTATTGTAGCCTAGGCTATCAGAGTTGACTGGTAATCCTGCTGAAGAGTAGCCCTGCAGGTTATTAAAGAAAAAAAAGAGTTAGTTTCTGAGAATACATCAACAAAAATTTCTTCATGCTTGACAGTCACATACCCATAACCTTCTTATTTATCAAACTGGCTCCAGGGAATAGCACAACCTTCAGCCTGCTATCGTACAATGTACTGTGCCTGTTGGCAGAGCAATCTTGACTGATAATTCCCATCTCCCAGCCTGCCTTACCCTATCTGTTCAAATTGACTTATCCCGGCTATAGCACCCAAGGAGACACCTTCTACTAGAAAGTCCAGTTGTCAGAGGTCAGTCCATTTAGACTGTTCTCCAGCATTCTGGCATGTCTGGGAGGCCTTAGATTTATGGACCCTATACAAATCTATTGCAATGTAAATATCATAAACAGGGCCATGCTGTTAAACAAGTGCAAAGAATTCTTTTAGCTGGAAGATGCTTAAAACCGTTTATGGCAATGGTTTTACTCCACTTGTTTTATTGTGAAACCGAAATATTATCTTTATTTTATTCCTATTTCACCCCCTCACAAATACTTAGTTTTTAGGCTGATAAGCTTACTCTATCTATGAATTGTCATCATATGGGTGGTGAGGTTTGCAAATTAGCTCAGCTCTGGGCTTCCACATAGGCAAAGGTGTGGTGTACAGTCTGCAAGGCACTGTGGCAAGCCACACCTTAATGTTATCAGGGAACCATGATTCCTAATGTCTCAAAAAGGAGCCGTTCCCTGGTGTTAGGGAAAGAAAACCTGGAGATGACAGTCTGGCTGCTCACAGTATAAGTGAAGGTTATGGAGAATAAATCTGGCCAAGTCCCTGCTGAAATCATGAGGATTTCAATGGCCTTTAGGTCTCATTAGTACAGCTAGAGTTCAGTTTCAAAGGTGCTTTTCATTGTTCAGTTTTTTGTCTCTTAGTTGGTACCAGAAGGTACATGAAGTTTGTTTTCTGTGGGTAGCTGAAATAGGAACCCAAAGAAAAGAAAAAGCATTAAACTATTGATCATTGACACTTTAAATTGAGGGTATTTGTAAGTTTAATGATACATCTTCCCAATTCATACATAGAAGTAATGCAAGGTAATATTCAGTAAGAGACATTCAATTGCCTTCTGCTGAGCGTATACAATTTAACTGACAAATAATAAGATTTTTGCTCTTTCAGATGTAAAAAACTTCATGCACACTGAATACAGGATGGTTGCTGAATTCTTGTCAAATCTGCTAGCAATTTATTATATGGGGGAAAGCACATCATCTATCAGCTCTCTGCATGGGGGAATGATTAGATCCTTTTGATCATTGATAGGGGTATATTAGGTCTTAAAATGAATCCACTCCTCCAGCTTTTGAAGAAGAGAACAGTCACTCCTGACTGAACACGGGTATGTATGGGAAGAGCATAAATGCGAAATACAGGGCTGCAGCACAAGAATGCTTGAAAAACCAAAATCTTGGTCTTAGTCTTGGCTTGATTTATCTTTGTGCTGCAGGCAGGAGAGCTGTCCCCTGTGGCAATGTTCTTTAGTGGCTTACATGGCCTCTTCACTGGTGAAAGTGTTGTCCTTGAAATCACCAAGGAATATCTTTATTTCAATTTCAGCTTGAGGTTATCATTATAGTACATTTTAAAGATACATTTAATTCCCAGTTCATAGAGGAAAGTCATAAAAACTATTGATTTTTTTAGCCCAGATCATTAAGAAATTTAACACAGGCTGTGGCTACTCAGATAAAAGAGGTTCTATTAAGAGATTAACAAAGGTTAATTTTAGCATATAATTAACTCATCAGCTAATGAGCTAAA